CTTCTTATCTCTCGGAAGCAATCTCTTGAACTCAATTTGAATTTGAATTTGTAGCACACAAAGATTTTAATTCTCCTGTCTGAATTTCACATGAAGTTACTTTTGTAATCAATTGCCATATAATTGAATATTATATAAGAGTTTAAAAACAAAAGTTCACTTGTTTTGTTATGTATGTGTATGTATATAAAGACTAATAGTTAATACAACAGAAGTAAAATTAAATTCATTATTTCAACTTAGAAATTATTATAGAAGTAATGTTTCTCTATTACTATAAAAGTGAGTTAGCACTAGTAATTTTTTAAGCTCTGTTTGTAATTGATGATTATATAGTTATTTAAGATACATGAGTAATTTCAAGGCTGTGAGTTGCAATGAATTTTAGATGTTTTCTATTAGGGATGAGAAACTTAGGTGAATAATAAGGTAGTGAATTAGTATTAGTATAAAATAGCAGTTTCAAGTTGGCTTTCTTTGTTAATTCTTTTCATTATAATTTTAGTTTCCTCATCTGTGGAATAGAAACGATCATGGTCTCTGTATTTCATAGTACTGTAAGAGTTAAATAAGATAAGGCATGCTGCATTTTTAAAAGGGTACCTGGCACACAAATTTAGGATGCTTAATAAATATAACCTATTGTAATGATTATATTGGAGGAAGGTGATAGGAGGTTGGAAGTGACAAATGACTTGAAGCAGGTAGATAATTAAGAAATTTGAATGCGAAAACTTAACTATAAGACTTTAGATCACTGGCACAATTTTGACTTAGAGTTCTTTGATTAATCCCTCCATGCTTTAGTCCGCCCTTTAATTATGGTCTGCCAGTGACTTGATGTGGCAATTAAAGGACTTGTATTTTGAAAGTTTTCCAAAATCGACATTTCAAGTTAGTGTATTTCAAGTTAGTATATTAAAATTTTCAAGTTAGTATATTATGCAAAGATTTTCAAGTTAGTATATTAAAATTTAGGCTGCTTCTACATATTTGGTGGCTATCATTACTTAGTTAAGTTTTATCAAAATCTCTTAAGTGGCCTATTGATGAGTTTAATTGATGTTGTCTTTTGTATGATTTATTTATTGGTTCAATAAGTGTATTTTCAGGTTTTGTGTCAATTATATGGACATTGGGAATCATACTTTTAAGATGATTTCTGGACTCCTGAAACACCTGAGCTTTGCAGTATATTGAGAGCTCATGAGATAGCCATTTGAGAATTGTTATGATAAAATCTCCACTTGGAAAATATATCCAAGAGTTTCCAACGTGAGTTTGAAACAGTATATTGCTAGTGATTAAGCCATAGGGCATTTCCCAGTGGTCTTATGCTTTTCAGTATTTTGGAACACTGGATTTTATTTTATTTTGTTGAAAGAGGTGGTAAGTGTAAAAAAATGGATCAAGAAAATAATGTGATCTTTTCTTGAAAAGGTAAACATTTTGCCTTATGGCCTTCAAATATCATATTGGCATTTTTATAATACTTCATACCTTTCCAAATGTATTTGCTCACCTTATTCTGACAGGTGGGAGTTGGAAACCTGTTTTGCCTGATCAGTTTTTCTTTTGTAGGAGGTGAGTTTATGCAGTTGTATTGCTTTAGGAGTTTCTTCACATACAGCTTACTTTGGTGGTGGCCTAGAGAGAACCTCTGGGCTTAAGAATAATTAAAAGAAAGACTCTAAATCATTTATTCCTGAAGGATATTTTTACTAGGTTCCCACTGTGTATTCTCTCATGGATGGAGGGATTGAACAGGAGAAGGGTAAGGAATAGAGGGACATTCAGTCATAACAACTGAATTTACTGACACTGCCAATTTCCAGCAAAATTTTCTAAGGTCCAAGTCTTGTTCATTCTCTCTATAAAAATACCACAATCCAGTGAAATGGTGCTAATGTGTAGTTAAAAAATAAATTCTGTTTTGACAGTAAATGTAGATAACTTAATATGAGATTTCAGAATAGTATGTTAGCAAGCAGCAAACTTACAAAGGACAACAATAACTGCTGAGATCGAGCCTCTTTTTGGTTCATCCTCTGAGATGCTCCCTTTCTCTTTTTTTGGTTTCCTTTAACATTCAGAAATATTTATATAATGTAATGTGTAGGAACTATATAAAGCTTCTAATTAAGGATATTGAGTGATCCGATTTGCATTTGAGAATGTCATAGTTTGGAGAAGAGTAAGACTTGGGACAAGGAGGCCAGTTAGGACTAATCTAGGTGACAGATGATGCTACTTTCCTATTAGGGTGCTTAGTGATGATGGCAAGAAGTAGTTTTAAGAGATTTAGAACACTTGAGAATATCTAGTTTTCTTTGCCTCTGTATTTCCCCCCCCT